AAGCCGTTCACTTTTGGGGCTGGTCCCTGTGTCTTTAATCGGGGCCTCCCCCCCGGCCCCCAGCGCTCGCAGGGGACCAGCTCTGTGGCCTTGTGGCCCAGAGGGGACCCCAAATGGCATCAAAGCCCTTGGGCCGCTTCCCTCGTGCACGAGGGGATTCTTGGTGCTTCAGCGGGTCCTCGTGCTCCCCTTGGCCAGCAGGAGCTCCCTGGCCTTGCCCTGAGGCCGGGCCTTGGCGCGGGGGCTCCTCCTGGGCAGGGGACACCGTTTTTCCCTGCTCCCTGGCGTAACGGGGGCCGCTCTGTCCGTACCCTCCTCCCCACAGATGGCCGCCAGGAGCGGGTCATGTTCGACAAGATCACGTCGCGCATCCAGAAGCTCTGCTACGGCCTCAACGCCGACTTCGTGGATCCCGTGAGCCTCCCCTGCCTCCCCTTGTCCTCTTCTCTGCCCCTCATGGTGCTCTTTGCTAAAGGCCAAGAGGACCACGTCCTCCCTCGTTTTTTTCCTTGTTTTCAGTAAAGAAAAAGCCTGTTATGGCACTAGTGCAGAAACTGCGTGTGATTTTGGGTGCTTATTGCTCCCACCTCTATGAGCTGCTGCTTCCACAGCCAGCACGGAGGCCAACAGCCCCGTGGAGCCGTAGCAGGCTGTGAGATTTTCATCCAATATGCAGAGCTCCTCTGTTCATTTGGAGCTGCCAACTTGGGCTCTTCAGAGCTCCAAGATCTGTTTTCTTTTCTTCAATTACAAGCTTAGTTCTGAGTCTTGTCCAGGTTTTATAAAGTCAGCTGCATCTGGAGTTATAAAACTTGCAAGCAGGTACAGTTTTCATGTGACTTTTTTTCCACGCATTTTGCTGCTACCTTATTTTAGCCTTCAGGAAGTGTCTGCAGAGGGAACGTTCTTGGTGATTGACGGTTTTTGTTTTCTTTGCCTCTCCCTGCTCTCTCTCTGGTCCCAATATCACTTGGTTTAAAACTTTAGGAGGCAGTGCTTTATCAAGAGGGTTTTTTATTTTGTTTTCCTAATTAAGCAGAATGAAAGATAGAACTTATAGTAAAGCATATTTCTTAAGTGGTTAAAACGCCATCTTTGTAGCTAATGTGCAGAATTCTGCTTTTTCAGGCCCAGATCACCATGAAAGTGATTCAGGGGCTCTACAGTGGTGTCACCACAGTGGAACTGGACACTCTGGCTGCTGAAACGGCTGCGACTCTGACCACCAAACACCCTGACTACGCTATCCTGGCGGCGAGGATCGCCGTGTCCAATCTGCACAAGGAAACCAAGAAAGTGTTCAGTGGTAGGTCTGTGCGGGGCACCTGGATAGCAGCTCATCAGAAAAGCAGGGAGTTCTGGAGGATGTAAATATGCAAGAAATTAGGTACTTTAACTAAAAATAGCATGAAAATGAAAATCATCAGTTTTACGCATGTCACAAAGAAAATCAACTTGTCTGTTTTGTGAAGAAATAAAGAAATTAGGTACTTTAACTAAAAATACCATGAAAATGAAAATCATCAATTTTATGCATGTCACAAAGAACAGAAAAAATGTCTGAATAAAAGGGACTGAAGAATGCAATTGATTGAAATCAGGATGCACCCACTTTCTTTTCCCACTTTCAAAAAAAAAATCTCTAAACCTGTAAAAAGAGGATCAATTTGAAAAGTTTTCTGCTTCTGAAGTGGAATTGCCTGCTGCACTTTGCATTGGTTAGACTGCAATCCCGTGGCTGTCACAGAATCATGAAGTTTATTAAAAATGGCTCTAAGCAAAGTGCTTTTTTTTAAGGTCAATGGAAAATAATACAGAGCAGGTAGAAAAGACATTGGAGAGCTGGGAAGGTGAGGGGTTGTATGCACGGGGAGCTGGAGGGGGTTGTTGTGGGGAGTGTGGAGTCCTGTGTGTCAAATCCTTGAAAATGAATGACAAAGTACATGTAAGTACCTCTGCGAGTGCCTCACTTCATCTTTCTTTTAAATCCATTTCTGCTGTAGATGTGATGGATGATCTCTACAACTACGTAAACCCTCACAACGGGAAGCACTCGCCAATGATCTCCAAAGAGACCCTAGAGATAGTGTTGGCCAACAAAGACGTATGTAACGTTTCTGCAGTTCTGAAGATTCAGGGAACCGGTTTAGACAATGAATTTTTCTTATTTCTATGTCAACCGTGTCTCCTTTAGCCCCAAAAGGACACCAGAACCAGTGGAGATAACTCCTGTGTTCACAGTAAAAGAGGTGGTGTCGGAACTTCCTTCCTTTAAGGATATTCCTCTAGCAAGATCTGTTTCCTTAGATGTCCTCATTGTCATAACCTGTGCAACTAGTTAATTAAATTTGAAGAAAAACTGCCTTTTGATGTAGTAACCCCTTTTATGTGCACAGAAGGGAAAGGTGAGGTTTGGTGTCTAATTTCAAGTTGTTGCAGTTGGAGTTCTTATCAAGAAGGCAAATCCCCTTTTTGATTCTGACTGTTTCTTAGTATCTAGAGACTTCAGTAAAATGCAGCCAATGATTGTGCAACTGTACTGAAAAAATGTTAAAACCAGTGAGTTGTTTCAGACTAAGTGTTCTTCCATGATATCTGTTTCACTAGGCCAGGAAAGGTGAACAATTAAAGCCTTGTTATGCTGAAGATATGAGCCACAAATAATCTGAATTTAAATGTAGAACTTTCTCCACGTTATTTCCTTTCAGCGCCTGAATTCTGCCATTATCTACGACAGAGACTTCTCCTACAACTATTTTGGCTTTAAGGTAAAAAAACAGGTTTTCCGTGATATGAGGACTGCTGTTCTGCTGTTGCTTTGGAGCTGAGGGGCTGGGAATCGTTGCAGAATCATTAGGTTTGGCAAGGAGGGCATTGGGGTAGATGGGATGTTAGTGGGGTTGTTAAAAGAAACCTGCACAAAGCATTGCCAAGGTGCACAGATCATGTGCTTTTTTCCTTGACTTTGCTATACATCTTGATGTAACTTTTTTTTTTCTTTTTTTCCTGTTTGCTCATTGATCTGTCAACCACAAAAGCTTTGGAAAGTTCTTGAGTGTGTAGACCGAAGTGTGGGCTGTTTTCCTCTCATTCCGCGTGGTGTCGTGGGCCCAAGGGATCCCCTAGTTGCAGAATCATTAGGTTTGGCAAGGAGGGCATTGGGGTAGATGGGATGTTAGTGGGGTTGTTAAAAGAAACCTGCACAAAGCATTGCCAAGGTGCACAGATCATGTGCTTTTTTCCTTGACTTTGCTATACATCTTGATGTAACTTTTTTTTTTCTTTTTTTCCTGTTTGCTCATTGATCTGTCAACCACAAAAGCTTTTGAAAGTTCTTGAGTGTGTAGACAGAAGCGTGGGCTGTTTTCCTCTCATTTCGAGTGGTGTCCAAGGGATCCCCTTAACAGGACCGAGGAGTCGAGTGTGGGGTTGGTGCCTCTGTTGAAGCCCGAGATAAGGAGCAGGAAGATGCTCTAGTGTTTAGTAGTAGTGTATATACATGCATATGTACATACCTATGTATATGTTTACCTGAAATCCAAATGACTATTAAAACACCCTCTCTCTTTTTAAAGACTCTGGAGCGCTCCTACTTGCTGAAAATCAACTCAAAAGGTAAGAAGCGTCAGCATCAGCTCAATGTGTTGTTTAAAAGCTGAGGCCTGGCTCAGAAAGGGGTGGGGAGGCAGATAGGCCACCTCGTAGCCTTGGGCAAGGTGTTTTAGCAACAGGTATTGCCCACTGCTTCGAAAACCAGCAGCCAGGCTACCTGTTTGTAACAGGTCTTTGCTGGGCACATACAAATCTCTTAAGTACAAATCTAACACTTTATGGTGTCCGTGGTACATGCATGGAAGATATTTGACCACTAAGAGCAGCACTGTGGCAAGTATATGCACACACACACGTATATACATATATATATAGGTGTGCCAAGTAATGGCAGCATAAAATAGATAACTATACCTCACCTGTGTGTTAGAGGGACCTGACAGGTTTGAGAGCTGCCTGTGATCTGGGCTGTAGAAGGTGCAGATAACTTGTTCAACAGCACTGAGCACTTCTTAATAGGCTTAGGTTGAAATGATTCCCGTGCTGTTGCAGGCCCTTAGCCTGAGATTCCTGGGACAGCAGAAGTTGGAGGTTAATTGTAATTCAGTAAGCACAGAGAGTGTGTGGATGCTGGACTGGGTACTGGATTGGGGTTTAGCTTTCAATACAGCTCCCCTTTGCTTGTGCAAGCAGTCAGGGATGAGAACGGGGTGTCTGAGAGCAGCCAAATCTTGGAGCAGGTTACCACAAAGGGGTAACCTCGTTCTTGGAGATTTTCAAGATCCAGCTGGAAAAAACCTCGAGCGAGCTGGTGTGATTCTCTGAGCTGACCCTCTTCTGAGCAGGAGGCTGGAGCAGAAGCTTCTCGAGGTTCCTTCCAACCTGAATTACTCAGTAACTCTTGGCAAGCAGTGTCTCTAACTCGTCCCGTTAAACGCGCGTCGCTGGTAGCTTATTGCTTCACCTCTGTGTCTGGACGTGGAAGCATCACCCTGATGTGCTTCTCCCCACACCTTTTCTTTCCTGTGTCTAGTTGCCGAACGTCCCCAACACATGTTGATGAGGGTGTCTGTGGGAATCCACAAAAACGACATCGATGCTGCCATCGAGACCTACAACCTTCTGTCGGAGAGGTGGTTCACACACGCGTCGCCCACGCTGTTCAACGCGGGCACCAACCGCCCGCAGCTCTCCAGGTACCGCTGCCGTTCGGCTTGGCTTAGTGCAAGAGGGGGAAGAGGAAGGTTGGAGACAGCAGCTCCTTTGAAAAGACCCACTCGCAGCTGCGTTTCTGTATGAATTTTTGAGAACTGCTTGCTGCCAAATTCAATATCTAATGTGGTCTTTGGGAGGAGAAAACTCAGGTGTCTGTAAGTTTCTATAACCAATGGAAATGTTTGCGCTCTTATTTATAAGTTACTTATATACAAAGTCTTCTGCAGATTACAAAGGGATCCCGGTTAATTATTTTCTGGAATACCGTAAAAGCAGCAAGCATGAGTGCTTTGAAGTGGATTGGATTTGGGAAATGATTGGCTTTGGTAACAGAGGTGTCCGTAATACAACTGTAGTCCATGATGTTCTTTATTATTTATTCCATTTGACAGACTGTGGTTTCTGTTTTATTTATTTGCCTTGCATAGCAGGCTAACGATTCAGAAATCAGCCTTGCTTTCTGCAGCCCTGCCGACACGTTGTTGGACGTGTGTTTTAGTCGTTACGTGCTAAAGCTGCTTGTTTCCATTAGCTGCTTCCTGCTGTGCATGAAGGACGACAGCATCGAGGGCATCTACGACACGCTCAAGCAGTGCGCGCTCATCTCCAAGTCCGCGGGGGGCATCGGCCTTGCCGTGAGCTGCATCCGCGCCACGGGCAGCTACATCGCGGGGGTGAGTGCGGGAGGACCCGCTCTGGGGGAGGCTCCGTGCTGCGCTCACCAGTCACAGAATCATCACAGAGGGTTGGAAGGGACCTCTAGGGATCATCCAGTCCAACCCCTGCACACGCAGGGTCACCTAGAGCACGTGGCACAGGACTGCGTCCAAGCGGGTTTGAAGATCTCCACAGAAGGAGACTCCACAACCTCTCTGGGCAGCCTGTTCCGGGGCTTTGTCACCCTCTCTGTCGAGGGTCCTGCTTTCCATGAGTCCTCGCCGTCTCTGGTGACACGGCAGCTGGTCTGGCTCAGCGCTGCTTCCCTTTTCAGCGTGACCTGGGCTGAAACGGCCGCTTCTCCTTGCGGCTTCCCCTGAAAAGGAGGGTCACATCTCCCCCCATTGCTTGATCAGACAATTCCAGCTTCTTTCCAAGTTAGCAGCCCAGGAGTGTGCTTACAGACTCACTTATTAGCTGTTTTTATACAATTTTTATACATGTCCGTTTGCTTAAGATCTGTGGCGTTCTTTTTGTTTTCTGGCCACCCTGTAAACCTCCAGATAATTAACATAGAGGGAAATGGTTCAGATGATGCACGTCATGGAGTCGTGGGGCTGTAGCTCCTGCCTGTACCTCCGTACTTCAGAAGAACACCCTCCTCTCCCCGCCAGGCTACCAAAGAGCTGACTGGGGTGGCCAGCTGCTGGCTTCCCATGTGGAAGTTCTGCTGACTGCCGAGACGTGCAGGGAATGTCGACCCCTCTCCTTAAGCCGCTGTGTTTTAGCATTGCTGTATTTTTTCTGTGCCTCTGCAGACGAATGGAAATTCCAATGGACTCGTTCCAATGCTGAGAGTCTACAACAACACTGCCCGCTACGTGGACCAGGGTGGCAACAAGGTACCTGCTTCCCATAACGCTGGGGTGGCGCCTCTGTCGGGAAGGGATTCTGCTGCTGCCGTGGAAAACTGACCCGCTGGCACCAGCAAAAAGGCAGGGTGGTTGCAAGTAGCGCAGAATCAAAACGGTGCCTTTCACCCCTTCCTGGTGTTCCCCTTTCACTGCGGATTTTATCTGCAGTTGCATTTTTTTGGTATATGTCTGCTGCAGAATATAGATGCGCAAGAGTGACTTCTTGTATCAGTCACTCCTTGAGCACCCTACATTGAATTAAGGTATAAGATTGTGTTAAGAGTTTCCTGTTATGCACCCTCTGCACTACATATCCTCAAATCATGCAAAATCAAGGATTCATACAGCTCCTGTTGACACACAGGAAATAGATTTTTGAAACTGATTTTTTTTTTTTTTGGAAACTGATTTTTTTTAACTGAGAATTAGGAGTTGGCAACATGGCAATGCCTAGCTGCAGGGAGTGAGAGCAGCAGTAACTCAGCACTCTGAAATTGCCTTTATGTGACTATAGAATTAGGTCCCGACCCAGACGGTTCAGGATATTGTGTGCACTCCGCAGCAGTGTGAGAGACGGTGGGTTTCTTGGAGAGTGGTTAGTTCCGACCCTGACTGTATTTTATGCATCAGAGACCCGGGGCCTTTGCCATCTACCTCGAGCCGTGGCATTTGGACATTTTTGAATTTCTTGACTTAAAGAAGAATACTGGGAAAGAGGAGCAGCGAGCCAGAGACCTCTTCTTTGCCCTCTGGATCCCCGATCTCTTCATGAAGCGAGTTGAAACCAACCAGGTGAGAGGCTCGGTCGGTGCAGGGTGGCTCTGTTACTGGAGAAACGGCTGACCTGCCCTGGGATAGAGCTCCAGAAGTGTTGCAGAGCTGTCCTCCTCGCAGCAAAGGAGCGTCCTGAAAGATCTGCTGTGCCTGGGTTGAGAACCCGGTGCACAGGTAGAGGATCGAGCTGCAGAACTCCTCTAGGGTGCTTTGCTGCTTGGTTCTACAGTCTGGGACTCGGGGACCAACACTATTGTGCTGACCTTTATTGCTCTGCAGTTTCCTGAAAGCATCAAGCTCCTCTCAGTAAACTGACTTTCATTTGGCTGATTGTATTTGCTTTAATATGGGTCGTGTCATGAGAATTAGTCATTTTGGGACTAAAAGTTGAGTTTGATCACAAACATTCATAATTGGTTTTCAATAAATTTGACTGTCCTGAGAAATACCATCCCTTAATCTGCACCCAGACTTGGTGCCTGGTTTTTCAGGATGGGAAATGTAATACATTTTCATAAACATGTGTCAGCAGGACGTGCTCTTGTTGTACTGTGTGTTTAACCGATACGTCCCGCTGCTGAAGCTGAATGAAACAACGGGGCGCTTAAGGTTTCTCTGAACACTTTTCCTTCCTGCAGGACTGGTCCCTAATGTGTCCGAATGAGTGTCCTGGTCTAGATGAGGTTTGGGGAGAGGAATTTGAGAAACTGTATGAGAGGTGAGTAAAGTGGATAGACTTTTAAGTAATGGCCATCTGTCCGTGGAACTGCTCTTAAGGTGTCTGGGGGTCGACGCACAGGTGTTGGCTCACAGGTAGGCAGCAAGTTCCACTGTAGTTGCTATTTGTGTCAGGTTGTGAGCTGCTCGGGTACAAATGATGGTTAAAGGGCCACTCTGGAATGATCCCTGCTTTTGCAGCAGTTGGTTCCTTTGTTTTGAACTAGCTGTGCAGGGTGTTGTAGGAGAAGGTTTTCCCTGTAAGCAGGGACAACCTTGGTGCTCTGCTGCTGGCCTCTCCTGGCTTACTCAGCGCGCACAGATCGGAAGCAGATGGGGCCGTGGCTTTGTGGAAACCTTGGGAATGCCAATGTCCCGCTGTTCCTCTGGAAGAGGCACTACAAGCAGCGTGTGCCTCGTTGCAGCTATGAGCAGCAGGGCCGCGTGCGCCGCGTGGTGAAGGCCCAGCAGCTGTGGTACGCGATCATCGAGTCGCAGACGGAGACGGGCACCCCCTACATGCTCTACAAGGACTCCTGCAACCGCAAGAGCAACCAGCAGAACCTGGGGACCATCAAGTGCAGCAACCTGTGCACGGAGATCGTGGAGTACACCAGCAAGGACGAGGTGCGTGGAGAACGGGGCCCTGTGGCATTTCAGAGGGCCACTGTGCCTGTTGCTGCTTGCTAGGATGTGTCTGCCCTTTAGATGGGAAGGACACCAAACTCCATGGAAGATTTGGTATAAAAAAAAGGTACTCATTAAAGCAGAGCTCCAGCCTGGCTTGCTGGTTGCTGATGGAAGCACCTCTTAAACTAACACCTTACTAAGACTCATGCCTCTTTCACTCTCGGATTTACGTCCAAATAACAGTTCTCCCCAAGTTTTACGTTCCTAACATAGATATCTGCCAAACAAGTCATATTTTTGCTGCAATATCATTAACAAGGGTGAAACAAAGTCATAGAAATGAATTAGTGCTAATACTGCAGGGGGAATTGCTCGTACAGTAACGCTCCTGAGACTGTTGTGACAGTCACTGGCTCATTTAGCTCATGTTTTTTTGGTATATTTATAAAATTCTGAGCACTCTAGAAGAGATGAGTGCCATTGTGCCTGTTTGGACTGCACAAGAAGTCTTGGTGGACTTGTTTTGAGTCTGTGGGGCTTGGAAATAAAGATAATGTTAAAAAATAATCCAGAAAGGCCCTAACATAGCCTAAACCTCACACTGAAATCAGCTCCTGATTCTGGCTACACAAGAAATGCTTAAGCTCAGTTGAAAGAATGATTTATTGGTAGCCGGACTGGCCAAACCATTTCTTCTAATGATGTTTATGCCTTGATAGCTACTAAACTTCACTGAATTGTTGTTATTCCTTTTGCAGCTCGTAAGAGTGTGTCGAAATGAGCATAGTGGTTTTCTCCAGCCTTGCAGCTTGCTTTGTTTTCCACTCTATTTCCATACAGTTTGGACAGGGCCCCGGGCCCGGGGTTGCGTGTTTGCATGGGGTGCTGTCTGATGGGCCTCTCCCTCCCCTCCCGCAGGTCGCAGTCTGCAATTTGGCTTCTATAGCCCTGAATATGTACGTCACCTCGGAGCACACGTACGACTTCAAGAAGCTGGCCGAGGTCACCAAAGTCATCGTCCGAAACCTGAACAAAATCATCGACATCAACTACTACCCTGTGCCTGAGGTGGGTGCTGTGCTGAGCTGGACTGGGGCCAAAAACGGGCCAAAAGGTTGGTGACGAGTAGCTGTTCTATAGCAATGTGGGCTCAGTCTTCAGCAGGTGCCAGAGGGTTTTTGTAAAACCATTTTGGAAGGTAGTTGGGAGTTCTGTCAGCTACTTGGCTGCAGATGTCATCTGTTTCTAGTGACTTGCTCAGCCCCAGCCCAGAGGGAAGCTGTTTGTGAAGCCGTTTCGGAGCCTTCCTTCGAGATGGTTCTGAGGTAGAAGTTTTTTCATTTGCGTGGGTTTCCGTAAAGCACAGAAGAGCACTAGAAATGCACTAGAAAACAGAACCTGGGATCCGTAAAGCACAGAAGAGCACTAGAAAAGCAGAACCTGGGAGGATCTCCAGAAGATGCAGCTCAGTCCTCACGTGTTGGTTTGATGTGTTCTGGGCTGGCTGCAGGGACAGCTTTCTAAGAGGGAGGTGTACACAGGGGATAGTGACTGTAGAATGGGAGCAGGATTTGTTGTCTTGCAAGACCAAGAGCAGAACTGAATCCTGAGACTGGGTGTGGAGCAGGAAAGGAGCAAAAGCCCAAAGCAGCGTGTTAAAGGTCTTCAGAGACTTAGTTTTCAGGAAGTGCTTAGTGTTTGTTTCTAAATCAGGCTCCTTTTTGTGTGTCAAACCGAGCATTTAAAATCAGTGTTCACTCCTAACAGACTTAATCTAGGTCTTCAAACTCCTGCCCTACCAAACAGCAAACTCTGGGGAGCTGAGTTGAAAACTGAGTTATTGCAATGGAGTGAATGGTCAGTAAAATGACAGCAGGGGGAGAGGTGACAATTCCTCCCAGAGGTCCCTTCAGACCTACTTCATCCCGTGATTCTTGGCTCCGCTGACATTAACTCCTCTCTCCCTGACCTCCGTGCAGGCTGAGCGCTCCAACCGGCGCCACCGGCCCGTCGGCATCGGCGTGCAGGGCCTGGCAGACGCCTTCATCCTCATGAGATTCCCCTTCGAGAGCCCCGAGGCCCAGCGCCTGAACCAGCAGATCTTCGAGACCATCTATTACGGTGCTCTGGAAGCCAGCTGTGAGCTTGCCCAGGAACAAGGGCCCTATGAAACGTACGAGGGTTCTCCTGTCAGCAAAGGAGTGAGTACCAGGAGCTGCCGTGTGGCAGGACCAACACTGTTAAAGCAGTTAGTATTACTGTACCCGATCCTTGATACAGGGAGAAAGGAAGACTGCAACGCCTCAAGCTGGTAATATTGCAGCATTGCTCCACCATTTGGCTTTTTCATAGAATCATAGAATCATGGAACGCTCAAGGTTGGAAGGGACCTCTAGGGATCATCCAGTCCAACCCCCTGCACACGCAGGGTCACCTAGAGCACGTGGCACAGGACTGCGTCCAAGCGGGTTTGAAGATCTCCAGAGAAGGAGACTCCACAACCTCTCTGGGCAGCCTGTTCCAGTGCTCTGGCACCCTCACTGTCAGGAAATTTTTCCTTAAGTTCCTGTGGAACTTTCGGTGCTTCAGTTTGTGGCCATTACCTCTAGTTCTTTCAGTTTGTGACCATTACCTCTAGTTCTGTCAGTAGCCACCAGTGAAAAGAGGCCGCCCCATCCTCCTCACTGCCTCCTTTGAGGTACTTAAAGACACTGATTAGATCCCCTCTCAGCCTTCTCTTCTCCGAGGCATTAGGAGGTGCACGAGCTAAAATGCCCTGCAAAGGAAAAATAAAAGCAACATTCAGCCTGTGCTGGCTGAGCCCTTTAGAGTAATTAAAGATTGGCGTGTTTGTAAGGTTATGATACAGGAGCTTAGTTGAGGCTGAGCTGTAGTGAATAGTTAATAGTGATAATAGCTCAATTTAGGATGTGATATATGGAATGGGGAGAGAAAGGGTGCTTGGTCTGACCTGGGCAACTCTTGTGTTGCCCAGATTCTTCAGTATGACATGTGGAATGTCACCCCCTCCGAGCTCTGGGACTGGAGAGCGCTGAAGGAGAAGATCGCCAAGTGAGTAGTAGTTCCACACGGTTTGGATTAGATGCAAATTCCATTTTCTTGTGATGACATGTTTTCTGACTGCCTGAAGGCAAAATACAGAGCAAGCATAGCAGGGGCCCTGCTTATTTTATTTTTTCAGTAGAATTTTCTTCAAACATGTTTGTTCTGTGGATGACTTTATTTGGTTTATGTTCTTACAGCCCACAGAGAGCCCACCCATTTGTACGGATTTGACTTTCAGATTTGGTCCATCTGTTTTCTGTCTAGCATAGGGAGGGTCCTGAGCTCTTCATTGGCTCTTCCTTGCATTTTCACTTGAATGCTGCAGAGATGTGTACCCCCTTTTTTATTTTTTCTTTCCCTCGTGCACCCTTTCCCGTGATTAAATAACTTTGCAAAGCCTTTGGTTAAAGATAAAATTTTCAAAGACTGAGTTATACTTCCATGTTGACCCATATTGCAAGATCAGTTGAACTTCCTTTTCCTCAGTAGATAGTCTGAAGTTTTTTAGGTCACCTTGAGGGAAAAAAATGTAGGTGAGATTTATGAGTGTATGAGCTGAACCTGAGAAAATATGGTGATGAACTTTGTCTTTGTGAGAAGGAGTTCTTGGGTGAGATTTATGAGTGTATGAGCTGAATCTGGGAAAATATGATGATGAACTTTGTGAGAAGGAGTTCTTACTGCTGGTCCTCATAGCTCTTTGCAGACAGTATATAAACTGTTTTTTCTGTGTCTTTTCTGTCTTGTCTCAATTGACTGAAGCTTTCTCTTGACTATCTTTGCTAGATACGGTGTCAGAAACAGCCTGCTCCTTTCTCCAATGCCAACTGCTTCAACTGCTCAGATCCTGGGCAATAACGAATCCATCGAGCCCTACACCAGCAACATCTACACACGCAGGGTCCTCTCGGGAGAGTTTCAGGTGAGCATTGAGGCAGGTAGAACAAAGAGCTTTTCTGCATTCATATTTCTCATGATTTTTCACTGTTCACTCAGTTCTGTTAGAAGTTTATGTCAGAGGTCGAAAGCGCCAAGGAAAAAATCTAATCAGAGTGTCTGCACTGTGTGCTGACCCTCCTGGGATATGAAAAAGGGTTTTTAAAAAGTGCTGCTTTTCTCTGGAAATGACCTTTATGAGACCTTGATATTGCCTCTAGGAATACATGCTAGATTAATGTCAATTAATGAAGTTAATGAAGGAAGGGCTGTGCATGCTGTTGGAAGGTGAATGGAGGCCACAGTGCTGCTTTGCAGGGTCCTGAAAAAAGCCCTGTCTATAAAGCACAGAACAAATCTGTGAAGGCACCGTGTGAAAGGTTTACAGATGCACAGGGCCGGTCAGACAGGCCAGCACCTTTGCTTCACTGGTTTTCTTGGACATTCCTCATGCAGGGGAGTTCCATATACCTCTCTGTCACTATTCATAATATCCAGTAATTTCTCCCATTGCTGTTTTACCCGTCTAGTGCCAGGCTGGGTGCCCAAGTGCTTCCCCCTTATGTTGTCTGAGTGGCCAGCAGCTTCTCGTGCTGTTACCCTCTTCTGGCTGTACATACAGCTTAAGTACATATAGTTTAGCAGAATATACAGTGCTCTCGTCGCCCTTCGTTCCCTGCAGGTCGTGAATCCCCACTTGTTGAAGGACCTCACCGAGCGCGGCCTGTGGAACGAGGAGATGAAGAACCAAATCATCGCCCACAATGGCTCTATCCAGGTACGCGGGAGAATCCCGGGAGAATCCCGGCATTCCCGCTGGCTGCCCGGGCTGGGCTCAGCTGTGCGTGGAGCTCTGCTCCGGGCATGACTCAGCCAGCGTGGGGAGGAAAAGCAGGGAAGCGGAGCGGAGCATTTCCATGAGAAACACGGGATGTGTCAGAGCTCTGGGTAACTGAATCCTTACGGACCTGCCCATGTAATAGACTGTTCTGATAGAAACTGCTTTTCTACTAGACCAGATAACAAGTCGGGCTGCTCTGCTCTATTTGCAACTTCTGCAAACGGGTAGAGCTCTGTTTATCTTAGGGAATATAACAGGGAAATTTCATGGTAGGCAGCATGCTTGGAGCATGAGCCCAGTGTACAATATGTGGATCCAGAACACGTGAAGGGAAACCTCTGTGTGGGCTGAGTCGTTTCTGTTGTGCATTTGGACATGCTCCTGTGCCAGGGTGGTGCTGGCAGTGACTCTTGCTAATAAAACGCAGGGCACCAGTGGCTGAATTGCCTTTTGTTTTGTATTAAATAGCAGTGACGTTTTACGTTATTGCCCTGTTGGAATGCTGCTTCTCCTGTCAAATTCCGCAGAATAAGCCCCAGAATATTTCAGCAATATTCAGAGTGCAGAATATTCAGGTTTCCTTGTGCTTAGATGCTCTCAGATATGAAATGCCTGGGTTCTGTGTCAGAGCTCAGCTGCACTAAGCCTTAATTCTAATCATCAGCAGCTGAAACTTGAGCAGTCCTGAAGTCTGTTTTTGTAACGGGAGCGCTTGGGCAGACACTGCTCACCTTGCACTGGGAAACTCTCCCCCTTCCTTCCAGAATATACCTGAGATTCCTGATGATTTGAAGCAACTCTATAAGACCGTGTGGGAGATCTCCCAGAAAACCATCCTCAAGATGGCAGCAGACAGAGGAGCTTTCATTGACCAGAGCCAGTCTCTCAACATCCACATCGCAGAGCCCAACTACGGCAAACTCACCAGCATGCACTTCTACGGGTGGAAGCAGGTACCTGGGAGGGCTCGGGGAGAAGCCTGTTCAAAACAGATAGCAAGTGGGGCTGGATAAGGTTTGGTTTGTTTATTTTTTTCATGAAAAGTTGCTCTCTCTGATTCTTGGAAGGGTAAACATCTGTTTTCTTCCAAGAAGCAGCGTTACTAATGAAATACCTTTCCTTGAACAGCAAAGCTGAGGATGCCTCTGGCCTTGCTCTCGTTAATCCTGACTGTTGGTTCAGGCTATGGGAGGTCGGGCTCCACGTCCAGAACTCGGCTGTGTTTGTTTGCTGCCTCCAGCTGATAACTGCTCTTTGGCTCATGCTCTTGCTCTGCAGGGTCTGAAGACTGGCATGTACTATCTGAGGACAAAACCAGCTGCCAACCCCATCCAGTTCACCCTGAACAAAGAGAAGCTCAGGGAGCGGGAGAAGGCTTCCAAAGAGGAGGAGAAGGAGAGGAATAAAGCAGCCATGGTGTGCTCCTTGGAGAACCGGGACGAGTGCCTCATGTGTGGCTCCTAACGGATGAGCCTGCAGAGCCAGCAGGGTCGCTCCGCCTCACTCGATGCTTTCTACGATAGATATGTCTAGTTTAACTTCAGGATGTGGAGGAGCACTGCTCACAGTAGTGTTTTGTGGCTTCCCCGTCCATGAATTGGGGTTGCACACAGGTATGGATAGGGTGCATAAGAAGTTTGTATATTGCTTTTGTAGCTGGGCTTCCTGGAAACGTAGGTGCTCCTGTATGGGCTCGTGTTATGGGTAGGACCTCTCCTGCACAGGCAGGGAAGTGTCAGTGCCACTTACCTTAAAGATCCACCTGGGGACACTGGGCAATCCTCATTCACTCGAGGCCTGTGGCCCTGTCTTCAGAGGGAGAAGTGGCCCTGACTGATAGGGTTTCCTTTGCCGTGATGAGACTGCAGGAAGATGTTCTTGATACACTACCTGTCCTGGCAAAGGAGCAATTTCTGCTCGGCTTAAGAGGACGGAGCGTGTGTAGTTATCCCAGTGAGGC